AAAGGGCGGGGAGGGGGAGGAGTAATTTTTATTTATCGAGGTTTTTTTGGAAGGAGTGGTGGAGGAGGAGGAGGAGGAGGAGGAGGAGGAGGAAGGCGAAGGCGGCACACATTAATTTTGGCCTGATCCAGACTACTGTTTCTTCATTAGAAGCAGTTATAAGTTAGAGAAAACCATGAGCCAGTAACAAAGATAATAGGTCTTGGGTATAGCATGCACACTAATAAAATTTCTTTAAAAAAAACCTGGATAAATAAAAATAAATCCCACATAAAATAATTATTTTGTTACATAAAGCTTATGTTTACGAAGCTATGATATTATAAAAATCTATTAAAGACCATGTTAAGCAGACAGATGCGTGTAAACGTTTTTGAAGTAGCAAAACTCTGATCAATATGCCACCATACTATTATGTACTTGGAGAACTTATCAGCAACATAAATTGAATAATAAGATTGACATGCTATCCAATAGCATTATAGTAATCTTAGTAGTAAAGCTATGAAATTTAATATTTTACATGTAAACCAAAGTACTGCAAATGAGAATAAAGAATAGTGCTATTCCATAAATTCCACACAGAAAATTATACATAAATGTTACTCTTCTAATCTTGTCCCCAGGGAACCCTTAAAGGAGGAGATATGATGTGTCCTTGATATAATAGTTGTCAGATTTTCAAATGTCATATTGTCACATATCATATTTAGTCTACAAATTCTAACAAAAAATTACTGATGTACACATACAAGCCACAAAGCTGAGACTGCTATTTTTTAATCTGTCCTCCCCCAGTTTATCAAAATGGCTGCTAATTATCCAGAAAATGCTGTTTTTGTAAAATCCAACAGCCATCATCCTGCTAATGTACAAATCAGAACCTCAGACACCCCACATTCTGTTTAGAGAGTTCTTAACACATTTCTTACAAAGCACTGTTCAATTCAGGGTTAGGGATAGGGTAAAGGTGCAGGTTGTTCCATTAATTAATTGTTCTCACTGTCAGGAAATTTCTCCTTAGTTCCAAATTGGATCTCTCATTAATGAGCTTCCACCTGTTGCTTCTTGTCCAACCCTCAGGAACTTCAGAGAATAAGTCAACCCTCTCCTAGCTGTGGCAATCCCTCAAAGTACCGAAAAACAGTATAAAAATGTTTGAGAAATTGACAGGAAAAACAGTGACTGTAAGTTCAGTAAGCTGGAAATGATCCACGAAGAAGAGGTAAACGGATTGCTCAATGTTGCCTTAAGATTTGAATACATACTTGGTTGTTGCTGTTGTTATAGATATGAGGACTTTTTTCATCTATTTTAGAAAGTAAGTATTTTCAAAGCTGCACTGGTACTTTTAATAGAAATATAAAGGTAAAAAACATACCCTTCTTGATCTGATAAATACTGGCTATCCATATCTCTGGGTCTGCGGTCAACTGGGCTTCGGGAGGCATCATGGTGTCTAGTTGGAGAACGTGATCTTCTCATTTGATGAATTTCATCTAAACTCCTGGTTTATAGAATAATGAACAAATAAATTAATGTAAATGTAAGGGTAAAATTCTGAAATCTGATAACTTTGATGCAAATAGAGGAATATTGATCTAGGAATGTAAAATACATATAATCCAGTCCATTATAATAACTTTTTGTAGCCTCTTATTTTTCTGATGTGTTGTGACTAGCAGTCCCAGAGTTTCCAGACAGCACATAATTAATATTAATATTTAATTCAGTGATTTGATGGTGAGAGAAAAAAATTCCCTTCGCAAAATTACTGAATTCTTCTGGTATTTTCTTGCTGCACCAACCTTTTTGGCAAGAGCTCTAGCTCTCTCTATGTAAATTTCTTCCTTGACAGGAGGGCATATGGACAGTGTAAAACAGGATGGTATCAAAAAGTAAAATGCATCAATCGATCGATAGGATAATCTTGTTTAGGAAACAGTGCATGAAGAGTTGCCTAGTTATGTCATTAAGAGAACTACACAATTCTCTTTATGGCAAATTGACCACTGCAGAGCAGCTGCCCTTGCAACAAAGGGAGCACATAGTGCCCAAAGAGAATATAAACTTCACATATCTATAACCACAAGAATCTGCCCCTCTCACAGTTGCCCACTTTTAAAACCCAATGAATTCAGTGGAAAAGTGCTAGAAATAGTGGGGTTCCAGATTACTCCATTTTGTACAGACTGTTGGAGTTAATGATAAAGCAGCTACATTTTCAATCATACCTCTGTAATGGCACATTTGGTAAACGAGAACGGGTCCTGCCCTGATCGTCACCACGGTGAGGAGATACAGATCGTGAACGATGATGAGTTGTTCTTTGCTGTTCTGGCACAGTTAATGTTGCAGATTTACTTTCTCTACTGGTAGACCTATAGCCTACTGGTAAAAGTGCAACAAAATAAATTTAGTTTGGGTCATAAATAACAATTCATAATCAAATTAGTCTTTTCAAGAAAGCATCTCTTGCTGATTACAAGATTTTCAAGTAGTTGTTTCACCAGTGAAAATCCTGAAATATCATGCAGCTAGGTCTAACAAATAGCATTATACTTAAATATATATAGGAGGGAAAAGCATAAACATAGGTACAGAAGAATTTACATGCAAAGAAATTCCCAAAGGTGAAAAAAATGAAAAAGAGCATATATAATATTTAAATAATAATTAGATATTAATTTCTAGGATGGTTGGTTTCTCAACTCTTCAGTATTTTCAGATGATATCTGTACATCTTTGGCTGCGACACTGAAACAATGCTATTGCCAAAATTATTATAAGCAACAGAATACTTTGTGAGTAATTGTTCTCTGATTGAAGATTCATTTTCATTTTCAGATAAGTTAGCTGCTGATGTGAATATGATATAAAGTCACTTAAGAAAGTATTTCTCAACATTGAAATAATCAATAGAACTTCTTTTGGCCGGAATTAAACTTTTTGCTACTGCTATCACAAATTACTCTTAGCTGGACCTAGCACATAAAAACAACAGACAAAGAAAATTATAACTAAATGCCACCAAAATTGCAAATTATTTACAGCGCTTACAATATGAATGCAGACATGAATGATGCTTTCCACTGAAATAGCAAAAGACACATATGGTTTGTGGTTGAAAGAAAAGTTTACATTTTGTTCTCCTATAAGAAGAATTGTTTATGCACAGGAAGCATGGTGAACTAATGGAGTTCAAAAAGAAAATATTTCAAATGGTGAAAAGATAGCAACTCACAATCAAGTTCTTCTAACAATAAGAAGAAAAGGCTTGATATAACAAATGAAGTCCTTAGGATGAATGCTTTGAAGCCAGTTGGCTAAACTGCACTGTAAATAGCAGCAGGCAACTGTACTGTAAAGCAATTCTTTAGCTGAAGTATATAAATTAAATATTACCGTGTTTCTCACAAAATAAGGCCGGGCCTTTTTTTTTTTTTGAGCCCCGAAAAAACGGCTAGGACATCTTTTCGGAGGTGAATTAATTCTCCCCCCCCAACGCACCAGTGCCGATTCCAACAACAGTATCTGAGTCGCTCCCGCTTTTCCCCCGTCCCCATAACAACAGGAAAAAAAAAAGATTTTGAGGTACCTGGGAGTGCCGCGCGCTGTGTTTTGGTTTAATCTCGAGTGGCTGGCTGGGCGCGAGAAGAGCCGAGCGATGGTCTATGCTGCTGCTCCAGCCTCAGGCTCTGCAAGTTTGCAAAAGTCCCAGTGCAGCAGCCCGTTCCTGCATTCCAAGCACCCAGGCCGAGCTGCAGCTGTCCCTCTCTCGCCAGCGCTGTCTCCAATAACAGCAGCAGCAGCAGCAGCGGGAACCATGGAAGTTATGGAGGCGGCTCCCCCACCCGAGAAGCAGCTGAAATGCTTCCACATTTCCCGGCCTCCTGCTGCTGTTATTGGAGACGGCGCTGGCGATTAAACCAAAACGCAGCGCACAGCACTCCCAGGTACCTCAAAATCTTTTTTTTCCCTGTTGTTATGGGGACGGGGGGAAAGTGGGAGCAACTCAGATGGTGTTGTTGGAGATGGCGCTGGTGAGAGAGGTGGTAGGAACCGTGGAAGCTATGGAGGCCTGAGAAGCGGCTGAAATGCTGCAGGATATCCATGCCGATGCCACCCTCCTGCTGACCCGGGTAAGGGATGGGTAAAGGAACCGTCTGTGTTCCACCATGATTGGCCGTTAGGAGTGGCTGGTGGCAAGACATAGCTGCCCGCGGGGCACTCCTAATGGCAAGTTCCCCCTGCCTCCCCCTCCGCAATTTCGCATGTTTTAAACTAGGCCTAAATTTGGGGGGAGGGGCTTAATTTCATTTTATGTCTAGAAAACATGCTGGGTCTTCCTATTGGGGGGGGCGTATTGTTGGAGAAACACTGTAGTAGTTCTTAAAGAACCTCAGATTCTAAGGGAGAATACAAGGGAGCTTATAGGAATCCTTCTCAACCAGAATATATTCCACACTTTTCTCTCATAAATTCTGTACGATTGCTTTGTGAATGGAAGACAACTTGTGACATGGATAAAATAATTGCTTATGATGTAAATTATGAAATAACTTTCCCTGTTTAATTATATTTATGCTAAAAATTATCCTTATCTGCAAAATAAAACTATCAAGGATTTTAAAACATATACATTAGACAATGGAAACTACAGTAATATGCTGTTAATCAATAGTCTATGCTGTCACATAGACAGTATAAAGACAGTACTGTATGACAAAAAGTAACAACATATGGCTTAATTATATCAATATAACTGAAATTATTAGCTTATTCATTAATAAGCTAATTTAGAGAAGTGCTCAACTATTGTTCAAGAAAAATGCCAAAATAGATTATTATTATGACATCCTTCCTGATTTTCAGTTACCAAAGTACTGCGTTCTTTAGCACAATTAACACCTCCCAAAAATATGGCAGAATGAACTTATGTAATATACTGTTCTAGGCTTGTTGGACAATGTTGTTGTATAATGTGTAATACTATATATACCAGCCAAAATAGCATTGGGTAACCATACTAGCTAGTCATTATTTCAAACAGAGAAAAGTAAGGATAACTAAAGAAATCTTTCAAACTGTTTATTACAGTTAATTATCTGGTTCAAATACCTAGTTGAAATATCAAGTTATGTGTTGTTTTTGGTTTTTTTACTTTGAACATATTTTCCAATTCAGGCTGTGACTGGCTGCAGGAAATCTTCAGCGTTTCCTATAATGTTGAACATGTATTTCTAGAATTTTGATTTTATCTTTTTGTAAAATTATGCTTATATCTTCTTTTATACATATATTTAAGATAAAGAAAACTAATGAATGTTTGTAAGAGTTATAAAATATGTAGCCATGCTTCATGCACTATATACAGCCATGCATTTTCAATATATTCCATGGTGCACCTTTGGGTCTGAAAATAAGAACAAATCAATTGAGATTTTTATTACTTAAGCTATATATTTGAATATATTTTTGTATTAACTTTTATTTCAAAACAGATCGTTGACCCATGAAATGCCTACATTATGTACAAATAGGTTTATTAGTTGTTTATATTATATCAATATTAAATATTAACATTGTAACAAACTATTGCCCCTGACCATTCATGGCAGATGTAGCAGAATGAAAGATTAATTTTAATTCAGGAACAAATAAAGACTGATGTAAATTTTAGAATGTGTCACCATGGAACAATACAACATGCACCTTTCTGGAAAACATGACCTCCCAACTCAAGTTCTTTCAAAAATCTAGAAAATTCAAACGTGGAAGAGGAAAAGGACAGGGAAGTTGAAGCAAAGGATGTAGGACCATGCTCTTCACCCACGCACCTGAAGGAACTACTCCAATACCATCATCAACCTCATTATCTGAGATGTCACTATCACTGATTCGCTGAGATCCTGTGCAACAGTAAGGCAAATAACTGTATACTTGGTACTTTTGCAAAGGGTTAAAATAAGTGTAAGTAAAAATTATTTGGGGGCAGTTAAATAAATGGGATGCATTCAAAACTAAAAAAAGAGAGATAATAATAATTGTAAAAAAAGCTATTGCAAAGTGGCTCAGAATCAGAACACATTTTAATCTCTGGTACTGGCTATAGTTCCAAGCATATTGTGACAGCACAATGATTCACTGGATTGTAGCATTTATTATTATGTAGGCATCCGGTGTCTCTGATTTCACATTACTTAATTACTATATATCTTATCTTATATATCAAACATACCTAATACTTCTTTCCCCTATTTTACCCACAACAACAAACCTGTCAAGGTGTGTTAGGCTGAGAAAGAGTGATTGGCCAAAAGTCATCCAGCTGGTTTTCATGCTTAAGGTGGGACTACAACTCAGTCTCCTGAGTTTTTTCTTAACCTTTGTACCATAACTGGCTCATCAAAGTTCATACATCACATTAAACCAAACTAAACCAATTCACATTATGGTTTAGTGCAACATGTGAATCTAATGATCTGCACAAGCAACTATTGGTTGATGGTTTAGTTACTATGGGATTGATGAGTGTCCATAAATTATGGCTGCGCAAGTTTCCATTCTTATGTTAATTGTGAGCTTAAACGACCTAATGAAAAAAGTTCAGAGGTAATGAAGTTGGACAGTATTGAAAATCTTACTGACAAAACATCAAAAGAAAAGCTGCTGAACATACAGGCAGCAACAAAGCACTCCTAGCAGCCTTTTCTTGATTTCTAAAGAGAAAGTAGGAAGCATTCCTTTTGCTTTGTCAGATTTCAGAATAATGGCAATATAGCTAGGTCTGGTCTTTGTAAACACAATCACAACGATTACAATCAAAATATTATGCTTGCCCCTTTAACAGTAAGGCCTACTCAGTTTAAAAAACTGATTTTCAGCCTAAAAAGATTACTTTGCTATGATGTTCTGAAGACACCGAGACAGTATGAGTTAAATCTTGATGCAGATCTTTGAAACCTGTACTTTTTATTGAATGTAGTTGCTTAAATTGTTATGAATGTTTACATCATAATTACTGCTCAAAAAGTTCTACCAAATGAAAGGGGAATTCTGCACCTACTTTGTAATTTTTTGCTGGAATTTTCTCCGCTATGGACATGTCTCCTTGGCATGAAAGGTGATGGCTGAGGAAGAGGTAGTGAGGATTCATCATGAGTCTGCAGCTTATACCAATGTGGATCATCATCTAAAAGTGCAGTCTCCAACTCTATGAGAATCTATGAGAAAGCACAGCAAAATTCATCTTTGTTTAACAATAGGGATAAATTGCTTCAAGATTCTATTCCTTGTTTAAAATGCAATGATGGTACATGCCCATTCACCTCTCCGAGGAAGTCACTTTCTTCTTCTTGCACTCTTGGCTGATCCCAAACAGTGATTTCTAACATCCGTTCTCTAAAATCCTTACGATGCACATGTGAATAGAGAAAGGTTTGGTTCCATTTGGGTTCTAAGCTTTTCTTTACTGTTTTTGTCCTTCTTTTACTCTTATCACTGTAACATAAAAAGTCACTGTAAATCATCATCATCATCAGAAATCCAGATATGTATTTCCATCTCAGGTCTTAAGCTTCATGATGAACTATGCTCACAGTCACAATTCCAGTGTTGTCACTTCCCTCTGTAAAGAGGCAAGGGGAAGATCCCTACTCAGCTGATTAGCTGTTCAAACTCAATAACCCAGCAGCATTGCAGAGCTGAACATTCTAAAAGATTGCTGTGGTTGGATTCACAACTAAATAAGTGAAATGGCTGACCAAGGGACAGACAGCATGAAACCATTGTGACAGTTATTATCCATCATAAATTAAATATTTTAATATATTATAAACACAAGGAAATCTAAACAACTATAAACACATTACTTGGGCGGCCACATAAAATGGTCACCCAAGTAATGTAAATACATAAATACAAATTTACGTAAATATATAACAATATTAATACATAAATAATAAGAAAATCTTAGCCAGACTATATGCTACTTTTTGGCATAAAGGTTGTAAGTAATACATTGTTCAAGGAAAATAACTGCTGGCTAGTGCTGGCCTTCAGAATATTCTATTGCACACCATTTAGCAGACTTCTAATACAGTAGTATGAAGTAGATGCTGACATTTGATGCTAATAATATTGCACACAACTGGCTTCTCCTTGTGGAAAAATTTGGGATGGAAAAAAATGAACTGATAAAGTTATGGAAAAAATGGAATATTCTAGAACAGTGTCAATATTAAAATGTGTGGACGTTCACTCCCAGAATTTTTTGCTTGAAGTTGCCAAGTTTGAGAAACACTGCTATAGAACAGAAGATATGATAAAATAACGCATCATTCTTTGTACCTGAATAACTTTGATGCTATTGTAGAGACAGATTCTGATTTGCATCAAAGAAAATAAAATTAAAAATTGGCCATTAGCACTTCATCAAGAAGAGTAATATTGGAGTTGAAATGAATTCCACAAATATAGAGCTTAACTGAGATGCTTCAATCTGTACTATGTGGTCTTTCATTTAAGTCTTACCTTCTATCTGGAAGGAAGTACATTTTCACATATGGGTTTCTTGGTCGTCCATCTAATCTAGGTGGCAGATCTGTTGCTTGAAGAACATTCACTATTAACTGATGCCCCACTTTATCATACCATAGTTTAACCTAAAATATTAAAAGAGCTCTACATTAACAATAAAATATGTCAATTGAGGTTCATTTTTATCTACATTAGACTGATAAAGGAAGCAACAATACATTCATTAAATAATAGAAAACATACAAGCAATTCTTCTCTGCATTAAACCCTGTCCATGATCTGCTACATTCAACTAAAAAATCTTGATCTATGGAAATTGATTTGAAAGGAAATCTGGAAAGTAAAACTGGAGGAAGTTTATCCATACAAACTATAATTAAACTACAAAATGCACTAAAATGGGATCTTGTAATGTCTCTTAGATTACTTTTAAATGAGATTAGACAGCTTCATGTAGGATAAATCGATAAATGAATTTGCCTATTATCTATATGTGATTTCCAGTCCAAAGGTAGGTTCTTGACAGGCAACAAGAAGAAAGGATTATTCCTTAGATTCTATATGAAGACAACTAAAGGCAGGAATTAATATCGGAATGTGCATGGTACCATGTACCCAGCAGCCCAATCTATTAAGTCAATGTATACAGTCAGCTATGACATATTTTCTAAAAGTTGAGAGTTTACTTCAGTCATTGTAACATGTAGGAACATTACAAGATGGGTCTGAGTTTACTGTTTTTGCCATCTTTCACTTCAGCTTCCATTTTACATACATAATTCCTATTCCCCGTCCCAGGGATGGGGCTCAAAAATCCCAGCAACTGGTTCCTGCCAGGTTGCTGGGTGGGCCTACCAGAACTTCCTGTTTTGGCTTCCAGAGGGCCTCCAGAGCCCAGGGGAGGCCGTTTTTGCCTCCCCAAGGGTCCAGAGGCCTCTCTTGGACCTCTGGGAGAGTGAAAACAATTTTCCCCAGGCTCTGGAGGCCCACCAGAAGCCGGAAACAAGCCCATTTCTGGACTTCTGGAAGGTGCATATTTCCCCCTCCCAGAGCCTCCATGAGGACCCTGCACTTACCTGCATCACGTGGAAACTCCTGGGAGGGGAAAGGTGGGCGGGGCCAGCTGGTCGGTTGCAATACTGGTTTGGCGAACCGGATGTAACTTTAACATCTGATTCGCCCAAACCGGTCCAAACTGGCAGAATCCCACCCCTGCCCCATCCCAAAGAATTCAATCCTCCGTACAACAGCATACTGCAATTCCAAAACAACTTCTAGGGAATAACAAAGCAATTGAATATCACTCTGTAGAATTATGTGTGTATGTGTATATTTTTGCATGTGTGTGTGTTCACATTTCTATGGATGCATATATGAATAAAAGTGGGGTGAGTGGCTAATATAAAAAGTAACCACTCTTATAGCAGCATCGAGTTTGAACTTCATTTTTAAAAACTCTTTCTCATAACACAGGATTGGTCCAGTTTTGTAAGTACATTCCAAAATGTTCTCTGAGGAATAGTTTATTATGGAGAAAATCTACCTATATGGCACTTAGGAATTGAAAATGAGTGATGGCACACAATCAATCAGTTGTTTTTAATGCTGTGCTGTAAGCATACATATGTTTAGTTAAAATGCAAGATCCTGAACAGTAAACGTACATTAAACAATGCAAATATAAATATTCCAAGAAGTATGCAAGCACACAAAATGTGTTTTCTAGTACCATCATTCTACACTTACTGACAGCTGCCCAGGTAGGACTTGTGGTGCATCTTTTAAAGCTCCAGGACTAGTCGGGGAAATAATAGAAATTGAAGGCCGTTCCATTTTCTGAGATTCAAATGAGCTAGAACCTAGAAAGAGAAGGAAGAAAATAGAATAGTGATAAACAATTTGAAATATATCATCTTAAAAGTGAAGAGGTCTGACTGAGTTAAAAAGAGAGCACTATCCAAAATAATAATAATAACAGAAATAATTAGGCCTTTCTATCTGCAAAAGAAATGGTAGAAAGAAAAAAAGAAAAATAGAACAAGAAAAATGAAATAAAATAAATGAAATAAAAATGCTTAAATTCTCAGCAATGCCAAAAATATGTTATATTTTCCACAAAACATTTAAGTTTTAAATACCTGTAAACACAATATAGTTTTTGAGCAAGGAACGCTTTTGAAACTTATTAATCAAGGAAAAATCAAATGTAATTCCTCTAGTATGATATTTTGCATTTATTGAGCCTATACATGAAGAGATATATTTGCTAGAAGATGTGGAAAGCCTTGATATAGTAGATTTTAACAGAAAAGAACAGAGAAATGATTGTTCTTGCAAAATCTTTTTCTTTTGAAAAAGGTAAGGAGTGATAAGTAGTTTCTTTTTTTAAAAAAAAAGTCTCAGGAAAAAAAATGAGTATTTGTTCCTGGAATTATTTCTCAGTTGTACTATAATGGATAATTGTGCTGCTAGAGTTGTGAAAGGAAGAAAAGGAAGGGATAAGTATTAAAGTTGAGAATTCACTCTGCATTCCTCTAAAAATTATGCATTTGTTTTCCTACAAACAATTTAACTTACACAGATAATTGAGTTATGACAGTTCACTTAGCAATCATTCAAAGTTATGACATCATTCTCCCCTCCCCCCAGTATGACACAGTTCCAAAGTTACAAATGTTGCAGCACCACAGCAGTCATTCACCCTTACAAACAACTGCAGAGGCATCGAAACATTCGTTCTGCCAATCCCGCCTCTCCCCGCCACTGGATCTCCGTAGGAACTGGGCCTGTGGAGACTCACTTACCTTGCGAAGACCTAGAAAACTGTGTCCTTTCCAGCCTCTCTGCCAGAGTTTCTTTGACTGCGTCCTGGCAGGCTCCGATCGTCTTTGCAAAAAGCTTTTGGCGCGAAGAACAGAGGCGAGGAGGGGCGTGCACCGAAAGCTTTTTGCAAAGATGACCAGAGCCGTCCAGGATGTAATCACTTGCCCCTGCAGGGTTTGGCTGCTTTTCCTCAAGGCTTTTGGCATGAAGAACAGAAACCAGAAGCAATGCACATGCCCATCCCAGCCTCTGTTCTTCGTGCCAAAAGCTTTTTGCAAAGATGACCGGAGCCTGCAGGGATCCAGACAAAGAAACCGAGGCAGAGAGAACACAGCTTGGTTGACCATTGAGATGTTCAAAAGATAAGTGCCAGTGAAGACCTGGTGGGGCAGAATTGGGGTGGGTGGGAAGCATGAGATATCTCAATGGGCCAGGGGGCTTGGGTGGTCAGAAGCACTAGGCTCTTCATGGTTTCCCCATCCTGAGGTATCTCATGTGCACTTAACGACTTGAACTTCAATTAATGAATGCATTGGGTAAATCAGGGAGAGATCACATTCAATTAACATGATCCCATTAACAAATTCCTCAGGTTGCAAATGTACAGTAATTCCCAGGCTCTATCACATTCATAAATCAAGGACTACTTGTATTCAGCCAGAATGTCTTCTTTCCTGAGTTTAAAGACCAACATTAGTTCAGAAAACTCTGGTTTATGCAAAGTGAGAAAGGGAAGGGGGAAAAAAAGCAAATTCTCTACTTTAGGCTGGGGAGAAAGAGATCAAAGTAAATAGTTAAAGTTAATTTGTATGGTCAATCAGCATATTTTGGTAACTTTTGAAGTTCAAAAGGAAAGCATATCACAATCTCGTGATATGACTGCTGCTGACCAGCTTGTATTTCTATCATGGGTCAGATATTGCGAATAGTTTCCGTGGCAATACATACTACAACTATTTATTGTCCCATGTATTTTAGCATGAATTCTGCAGACTATCCTTTGGTATGAATAAAATATATATTACATCGCAAAGTATTAAATATCATTGAGGGTGAAGCGAAGACTATGCTGATAAACTAAGTAATGCTGAATGGCATCTTATGAATCAACACTGTTCAATCTCAGCAGCTGGAATAAAGTCAATACTCACTAGATTCTAGTGGAGGATGAGAAGTTTCAGGAATCCTTGGAATGTCACTGAAACAGACATATATAGGGGAAATTTTGAAATGTCGTTGATCCAGAGCAATGCTATAAAATAATGTTTAATCTATATACACAATTATTTACTTAACGTTATTTAATAAAACAGAAGGTTCAGACCTTGAATGTTTATTCAAAAACCTTTTTTTTTTAAATCCCAGACTGAATGCTTTTGACATATCTCTGCTAGACAGTTACTTTTCTTGAAATGATTTGCTCAATTTCTTAAGAAAGTTGTCAACTCATCTCATCTTAAGGAATATGATTTGAAAATGATACAAACAGCAATTTCAATGTAAATATTTATATTGTGGTCTCGCAGTCCACAATATTTTTCCACCACACAACAAGAAAAAGTAAACAGGAGAGGAGTGAAACTACAAAATACTAATTTAAGGGGGGGAAGGGATTTAATTTACTAAAATGTTTATACAACACCTGAAGAAGTTTGCTGAATTAAACTTAAAAAGAACCTTATAATAACAGAGAGAAAAACAAAAAACAAACTTGGAAACAGTTAGGCAAACAAACGTAATCCCCATTTTTAAATACACCATGTTACAATACAATGGAAACACATTTAATTTCATTTATATAACTAAATATGTCATAATGGATTTTAATCCAGAAAGTTTTCTAAAATATATGCTATAAGATTTTTTACCTTTAACCCCTAATGTTCCAAGGAACTTTTGTTACACAGGAATTCAGAAAGATCATATCCTACCCTTAATTTAATTTAAATGCCATTGTTATAGACCGCCACCCTCCATAAGTCTCCAGTCCTTTTAAAAGATTACATTAAGAACAATATTACCAACAATGAAAGAGCAATTATAAGTAAAACGGTCTTCCTTCCCAGCATCCAGTGATAGCAGCAATCTTAGAATTAAAAGCTCTAGAAGGAAGCTTAGTCTTTCCCACCTTCCTAAATGACAGAAGGGTAGGTAAGGAATTTCAAAGTGGTGGAACCATCATCATCCATTCTCCTAACTACCTTCTACAGACTTCATTGGAGATGAGGTAATCAACATTCTAACTGGCTGGTAGATTTTTATGAGATAATCCTGAATGTATTCAGGCATAAGCTATTAAGGGCTGCCGAGACGATAGCTGGTTAGTAGTAGTAGGCAACACCAATGGTATATGATTATGGTGGCCCTCACCCATTGATAAGAGGGCTGCTGGGGTTTGCTGCAGCTTCCTGATAGTCTTCAAGAGCAGCCCTCGGCATAGCACATTGTAGCATTCTACCCTAGAGGGGATGAGGGCATATGGCAGTTTAACAATTCAGTTAACATGATGGTGTGCTTCATAACATAACATTCATCCTTTCCCAGCTGATTTAGCACACTGGGAGAGAAAAGGTGAAAATGAAGTGGTAATTCATAGAAAACAGACTGGATCCAAACTTGGTAACGTTTATCATACATCCATTAAAATAAATGGCTCTTAAATTAGCTGTAAATCTGAAGAAACAGTATAGCTGTATAACTGGTGATGAGATCTGTGCCTAAATATACAAAACATGGCATGTTTTAATAAGAACATTTTCTCCTTATAGTTAACATTATAGCTGGACTTTTCCAGATTTGCTACCAAGGACTTTTGAATTGAGAATTCAAGTATGAGAATGCTAACATTGCACCTTCATTCTTTTTCACTTTACGTTTTTAGTATGCCAGTGTTTATCTTATTCTAATATTATATACTCTTGTATGCATATGCCTGCATTTATGAGAGAAGAAAGAAGGGAGGGAGGGATGGAAGGAGGGAGAGAGAGGGAGAGAGGGAGAGAGAAAGGGAGGAAGGAAGGAAGGAAGGAAGGAAGGAAGGAAGGAAGGAAGGAAGGAAGGAAGGAAGGAA